AGGCGGGTCTCGAACCCGCGGGCTCAGGCAATCCACTCACCGCAGCCTCCCAAAGGCACAGGATTACAGGCTGAGCCACCGAGCCAGCTTGCAGCACCTTCTGTTAAGACACCAGGACAGAGCAACTGCTCTACCCGGACTAAAGCAAGGTCCCCTTCATGTTGAGTGTTCTAACTACCTGAGGAAGATGATGGGAAAGAAACTTGGAAGGAAAGACATCATGGCTACCCGGACCGTGCGCGTACCATTCTGTGCATCGTGCCCTGAAGACAATGGAGCATTCTTACGCCAAATTGGCATGCAACTGCCAACAGTGAATGTCAGCCGGGTTATTTGCTGCATAAATACCAATTAAATAAGCCCCGCAGCAGGTTCGACCTGCCCAGCCAACTTTGGAAAGAGCACATCCCTCCAGACTTCTTTCTCCTGCACCCAGTGAGTTCAGCGCTTCCTTTTCTCTCTTCCTTTTGATCTCAATGGCTTCAGAATTATTCAAGCAGCTATAACTTGCAAAGGGGCATACTAGGGCAGAAGTAGCTAGCACAAACCAAATAGAACAAATCGAGCCTAAATAACAGCATAGAGCTGTTTTCTCAACATCTTTTTCTTTCTCCTAGCTAATCTCCTTCTCCCCGGATCCCTTATTTAGAAGTGAGAATTCTCTGTATCTCAGACAGGGTACAACAACCTGTAGTTGACTCTTAAATGGAAAAATTGCATTTTAAAGAATCTTGGTTCACTTTCCTGATGGATAAGACTTTTCTTTTCAAAATTATCAGAAACCAGAGAATGAATTCCCTCTGCCATTCTGCCTCCTACAGAGATCTCTCAGGTATTATTCACGAGCAAGTGGCCACGGTAAAACTAAAGTGGTTTCTGTAGTCATTTGCAATTATTGACAAACAATTTCATAACGGAAAATGGAAATTACAGGCAAATGCAATAAGCAGTTTATCCAAGATCTACCTGATGGTGGCTCTTTTTCTCAAAATTTTTTTTTTCTTTCAAGCAAAAATACAAGCTATCAATGGAATGCATTTCTCCCGGGTATGATTTTTCTTGCAAGTATCTCCACCACCAACCCCGGTTTCCAGTTCTGTCCGTTGTCAGAATTTGTATTCCACCGCGGTCGCAGCCGAGACCGTAGCGTGTTCTTGGGCGTTCGCGAGACTCCCACACCGTCAGGTCTGTGGGAAAGGATCACCCCAAACGGCAAAATAAGGCATTCCCTCCCTCCCGGGGTGGGACCTGCTGGGGGACAGAGGGGCTTGGGCTTCTGCAACCAGCGAATGGGTCTCTTTCCACCCCTGCTGTCCCGGGCGCACAGACACCCTCTGTGACCCCAGGTTCGCAATTTGGAACACGAGGGAGGCAATTCCTTGGGGAAGCACAGGGGTGCCGTTTTGCGCAGTTGGGTGACTCGCAGGTCCCTCCGCACCGCGGGAGCATGTCAGACAGACGGGGTTTTGTTATTGATTTCGTGTTTGTGTGTGTGTGTGTGTGTGTGTGTGTGTGTGTGTGTGTGTGTGTATGAGAGAGAGAGAGAGAGAGAGAGAGACAGAGACAGAGACAGAGAGAGACAGAGAGAGAGAGAGATTTTGTTATATTTTCACCAACTGCACGAACCTCAAGGGATCTCCGAGGTCTTCGGCTGAGCTCAGCGACTCTGAAAGATCTCTCTCTACCTCTTTCTCTGTCTCGACAGCAGCCACTCACCCCGCCCGGGTCGCTTCTTCCCCGCCCCTTCTTCTTCTTCTCAGTCCCTTGGGCTGTAGAACCGCGGCTCTGGGTGGACCCCAGGGCCGTGGGGGCAGCACCCGG